AATCACGGAGTACAAAAAATTAGCAGATTAAAAAACAAAGTGGGGAAATTAGTTATGATCCTTTGATTTTTCTCTTTTGCAATCTTGATTATAATGTTGCTTTCCTAATGACAATAACAATGCTATAATTTTATGCATGAAAAAACAAAGTAAAATAACAAAGATGGGATCCATCAATTGTTTTCACTGTTCTCTTTTTTTGTAGATTGATAAAATTATGAGTTCAATAGATGCCGGAATTAATACTGGCCTAGAGGAGATGAACGATCACTTAACAAGTAAGGAAAAAATTAAACTATTGTTTAATTATGACTTAACTGCCTTTAGGGAAATAATAGATAAGATATTGCTAAATAAACTATTGTGTTGAAATTATTTGTAGGAATTTGAATAACCATGAAAAGAATCAATGCTGTTTACTTTTGGAGATGCATTAGGCCCACTGTCCTGGAGCTGTAACTATAAATAGTATGTTGGGATCATTAGCGTTGTTTTGAAATCTTACCAGAATGAGTACTCCATTAATATTTTTGTAATGAAGCCTTTCATTACTCGGGGCATATTTTCCTATCTTGTTCAGCTGAGTTTTTGTTTGAAAACATGGAACTTGGATATATAAAATCCAATAGCTGTGGACCCTGTTTTAAGCAGAATGTTATCTAGTGCTGCCTCAAGCTAATACTTGGCACAGTGCTGAAAATACTGCTGACACCAAGTGACTGGTGTTAGCAATCATGGGAGAATTTGCAAACCTCCCCTACGACAGTGAATTCTAACTGTTCTGAGTCATGGCTAGCTTGTTGGCATGTCTGCACAAATCAATGCAACGGTGCTGATAAGAATTTTGAAAGCATTTTACTCCAAATTCTTCTATCTCATGGAAAGAAAACTGACTGACATGACTGAATAATTTGGTCCTGAGACAGAGATATGTTGCCCCACCTGTACTGACACACGCCTGTTAGCAATTGCAAGCAATGACATGTTTTATGTATTGGTTAGGAGACTACCTACCTTATTGCTTAAGACAAAAAAAAAAAGTATTTTAGCAACCAATCATTTCATGGAGCGTGATCTCTGCACTGCAGGAAACTCTGCCTGATCTATTAAATCAACCTGACAACTATTAACTGTAGCTCAGGACTGGGAAGAGAATCTAGGAAAATGAAGAAATAAAAGAAGATTTTGAGTGCAAGTATGCTTGCAGATTAAACAAGCACATTCAAATTTGTTTTGGAAAATATAAGGATCAATATATTGAAAAACAGCAGGTATTTTGTCCTGTTAGAGTACTTTTTTCTGTTTCTTTCTGAAAAATTCAGTATTGGTAGGAAGAATTATTCACAGAGGAACTCTAGGTTAAGAGGTGATTAGTAATTTCTGAAGATATTATAAGTAATCCAGGATCTGCTGGTTGTTATTATTTCAGTGTGATACATGTACACAGACATCACACTCAAAATCAGGGTTCTATTAAGTTACACGAGTTGGAGCTATGAAAAGCAGACAAACACTATGAGTAGGCAAATTTACATAAATTAGTAATATGGAGGTATTGTTCTCTTGCTTCTTATGACTGATTGCTGGTTTTATTTTTTCACTTTTTGTTCTACTTTTAAGATCAGAAAAATCTCCCAAAAACTCTTGTAATTAACCCTTTTGTGACTATTATGTTTTGTTTTTCTTGGCATTTGTATGTGGCACTTGTTTCTTCAGCTCTTTCAGTTGTCGAATCTACTCTTTTCTTCACTCTCCTTTTCCTAGAGAGGGCTTCAAGTTCCAACATTTTTTTCCAGTTTGGTGGGCAGCAGCTATCTGCAAGGCAGTGATTTTTCCTATCAGTCCCTTCAACTAGTTTAGAACCATAACGCAATTTTGTTCTTAATGTAACAGATCAAGCAATGTGCTAGCAGTAAAAGCAAAACTACATTTCTTTAGATTTAATCAATTTTGCTGTGCAAACAGACTGTGATAAAGACATTTTTGTCTGTTACAGAGCTGGCTATATGCAGCTTCACATTTATGTTTTTCATTTTTCATTCCTTTATGCATTTTTCAGCTTCCAAAAAACCCAATTCAGGCAGCAAAGGAAGATAGACTAAATAAATACACTATGCTAAATTTTATTGAACGTGATACTTGAAGTGTTTTTTTATCTCGTATTTGAACAGTGGCAGGGTTATCCAGCAGAATAAGGAGTCCGTATTTCTCGCAATTAGCAAACTGTGGTAACCAATAAAGAGGAGCCTTAGTATGGTGATATTTCTTCAGTAACATTAATATATGGTTAATTACCATATATTAACTAGCACCAGACAATACGGGGTTTTTTTTCTTACTGATGATTTTTTTTTGGCCCTGATACAGATGTTGCTTTAAAGTGTTCTGAGCAAAATCAGGTTTATACTTTGTGCTTCTAGCACTTACTGCTGATTGACAAGAAGCCTCTCAGATTCATCAGTGCTCCTCTGACGCATTCGGTGGCAGTACAAGTACTGGCAAGGTAAAATTGACATTCTGCAGGGATAAGTTGGCTGCAGATCTCCTCTGAAGCCATGTAGCCATTTACATGAATGCTGAACGGGGAGAAAGTAAGAACATATCTTACTGGTGAAGGAGGAAAAGGCTTTTGTACTCCAGAGAATACAAAACCTCCATTACAAGGAGGAAATAAAAGGTAATGTTGTCTAGCGACCTACCTCCAATATGATGTGGAGACATCTGACCCACCTGGAGCTGACAAACTCTTCAGCCCAAACTGTCTAATTTGAGCTGTTGCATAGGATCCCACTGATCACTAGGATATTATGATAAATGTTTACTTTGATACTAATGATACTGCCAAGAATTATCCCAAGATGACAAAAGTGCTTATAAGACTCTAGGACCATGGATGAAAAGGTTGAAGATTCAAGAGGTATTACTGTCTGTCCTCTCACTTTTGAGACAAGCATCAACCAGAGATAAATACATGCTAAATATAACTGCGTAGCTACAGAGGTGTTGTCACAGCAAGGGCTCTAGCTTTTATAACCATAGGATAATGATATGTGTGCGCTGATGGGAAAAGATAAAATCTACCACACAAAAGAAGTGAAATAGTGTCTTCATACATCAGCTTCTATACTGGAAGACTAGAACTTCAAATTAAGAACAATTTGTCAAGGACAGAAATCTGCAGCTTAAATAAAGGAATTTGAATATAGTTCTAATCACTAAGAGAGATAGGATTACTTAAAATAGGATTAAAGGAGTGACTAGAAGAGTCATGGGTCAGTTTGCCAACTACCTTATCTATTTGTATACTAATAAAAGAATTAGGAGCAGACAAGAATTAATGGAAGAGTTAATGAGGAATAGGCAAGAATTAATTGAAGATTATGAGAAAGTTAGCATTGTAGAGATTTTATGATATATTTTACATTAATAATCCAGCCATGTAAAGGGTATAACTTTGTCCCAGAAAAAGAAGATAGAGAAGAGCTGAAATGTTGCCCTGTATTTCAGAAATAGGTTGTTTGGTTTAAGATCTTGAACATAGATGAGTTAGAACCACTGAATGTCTGCAGGTGTCCAAATGGACAAGAACATGGGTATTCTTGGTGCATAACCAAAGCCATGGGACTTGATAATAATGAGAAATTTCAGTTATTCTATCTTTTGCTGGAAAGAAATTACATTGACAGGCTGCTCAAGAAGCACTTAGGACTTGTTGGATACATTTTCTAATACAAGAGATAAAAAAAAAAGTAGAGGAAATGAACTTTTGGATTTGATTTTAACAGCAGTTTCAGTTCAATTTAATTCAAATAATTTTAGAGTAACATAAGCATATGAAGACAAGTCAGAAGAGTGTCAGAGCACTCAATGAGATGAAACTAGTAAGAGAAGTAGAAGGAACTGCCTATAAAATAAAATAATTGTATAAATACAAATATAAAATAAAATAAGTTTGTGTGTATAGTATGCAAAATAATGTACTGTAATTATATTCATACATTATAGAGAAAAGAAGAACTTTGGTAACTTAGAGAGGTAACTTTAGGAAATGCAAAGCTGCTCCTAATCGCTGCTGAGGAGGCAAAAATGTAGAACTTTTTCCTCTGCATATACTTTATTTTCTTCTGCATATACCGAAAGAGTCATATACATGTGCATGCAGCAAATACAACAAATACTAATATTGATAGCTAAGAACAGCTCATGTAAGTAAGGTATCTTAAAATTGATTTAATGATAAATTAATTTTGTTATATAACTGACTGATATAAACATAGAACCATTACTAGATTCTGATGAGAATTCTTGGAGGATGATTGAGCCACCAGCTGCATAGGAGAGGACAGTGTAGAGCTCATCTTTAGAAGAGGAGAGGAAGGAGAATGTGGGGAATGATTTTCAATTCATAAAAAGTTGCTGAACAGATAAACTATTTCAAGTATCTACAGAATAGCAATGAAAAGGATAACAGGCAATATGAGTTTGTTTAGAGCAAACTGGTTAAAGCAATCTAATTCCTCACTAGGTGTTGACAGGCGATTTTGTAAGTAAGGAAAGAGCAGTAGCTGCCCTTTATTATGCCATTGGGTCAGCTTTTAATATAGTCTCACATGTTTTCCTCATAAGGAAATTAAGTAATCATGCCCTTGATGAAAATAATGATAGATGAGGCAAACAGATCCTTTCCTTCACATCTAAGTTTAGACTTTCATAGTGTAGACTGCATTGTGTACATCTGAACTAGTTATGCTGTGTTAGATAAGCAGGCACTTTGAGAGTATCATCCACCACATCTAAATGTCTGAAGCATAGCAAATGGCTAGAAGAAGTATAAAGTACCCGTGGAGGAAGCCTAGAGGACTACTTTAGAAGTACTTGTATAAAACTAGCTGAAATGAATCTCCTTCTTTTCTCCTTGGGACAAATTATAAGGGCAAGGGTAGTGAAGCATTCAAATAGATTAATAGGGAGATTATAACCTCTGTTACCTTTGGCATGTTCTTAAAGATTTCTGGATGTTTGCCAAAAATAAGAAAAATGGTTCGGGTGTAACTGGCCTTCCCTTGAGGCAGTTGAATGGATTAGGTGTCTGTTTTAACTCCTTTCCAGTACATGTTGAAATACTCCTGTGACCACCATGATGACATGATTTAGAAGGAACCTTTCTAGAACTAGATGGAGTTTAATAAACTGAACAGCTTTTTTTTTTTTTTTTTACTTACACTGATTAGTAATATACATTCCGCAAGGACTTAGAAAAGCAAGTATGTTTAAATAT